TATATATATATATATGTTTTGGTCTTTTTGAGACAGGGTCTCCCTGTAGTCCCAGCTGTCCTGGAACTCACTATGTAGACCAGGCTGGCCTGAACTCACAGAGATCCTCCTGCCTCTGCTTCCCGAGTGCTGGTATTAAAGGCATGCACCACCACACCTGGCATGAAGTAATATTTTAACTGACCACAAAATGTAGGTATATACACTCTTAAAACACATGTCTTATTAGGGATTGGTAATGCATGGAGTTAGGTCATCAGTTTACTTTTCTGTAAAGTTATTTACTATTCCATTTTCAGCAAACACAACAAAAAAAGAATCATTTGTTGTGAGTCTTTTCTTAGCACATCCACCGGCCATCTTTCGACATGGAGAAGATAGCAACAGGGCTCTGACTTTTCTCTTCATTCTAGATCAGTCTGTGAATATTTTTAATCCTTCTTCATTTCTTCTTTAGTTATCTTTCTCATTCCTAAAAATGTCTTGTACTTTTTCTGTTTTTCTTTTTACCTGATCTAATTTAACTTTAATATTTTTGGCAGAAAAGAACAAGTTAGTACCCTGTATCAAAACATCAACCTTGTGGAGCCAAGACTAATTCAGCCATATGAACATGTGATAAAGAACTTTATCCATGAGATCAAACTTCAAAGCACAGAAATGGAAAACCTGGCCATTGCTGTGAAGAGGTACTGAGGCAACTCCTTTCAAAGTATACAAAGTCTGTAACTTGCTCTGTGACCTGGGGTGGCAGAGGAACTGAATGGCATGATCACATTATGCTAAAAGTAAACTTCCTCAACTTCAGGAATCCAGAGCTTTCTAAACTAAATCCACAGATGGTAAGTTGTGTCTGGCAGTAATTACAGGGTCAAATAGCAATCTGTTGATAGTGTGATGTCAGGTCCTTGGGACTGTTGATTCCATACAGAACAATTTAGAGATGTGTCTTCTATCCAACTGCTTGGTACATACAAGAAAGTGCCAGAGAGCTAGGCAGAATTCTATTTGAAGCTTAGCCTTGTGACTCATAGGTATAAAACGTCACAGATAAATTTCCTACTCTCTCCAAGTCTCAGTCCTTTATCTTCAAAAGAATGAAAATGCACCCTTGGGATACTGAGTCTCAGTAGGTGACATCATGAGTAGAGCCCTTCACACATGGGAAAGTCAGCTTACTGGACATGTACCTTAGAGAAAAATGAAGGAACTATGTTTTTAAAGTTTGATGAAATCTTATCAGTTGCAAAGTGATGAACTTCTCCATACTAGATAATTACCAGTGAAACAAACTAAAGGACTCTATCCTCCTCAGTAAAAATTGTTCATTTCTAACTTTTCATCATCTCAGTGACATAAAGATCTGATATATTAATTTCATTAATAAAAGAGACTTTTTCTTTTTTTAATAAATAATGTATTGAGAATTTCATACGTGCACATAAGGTGTTTTGATCAAATCCATGCCCACTCCCTCCCCTCCAACTCCTCCCATATCTCCCCATCACTTTTTTCTGATAACTTCATGTACTCTTTCTTCTTCTTTGATTTATTTATTTTTTAGCGTGGCTTGGCTACTCTAGCATTCCCCCTTCTGAAGAGGTAACCCTAAAATCTTTTAAGGATTAGATAAAAGCTCCCAAATATTTTTGACATTTTTGGCCTTTGAATGGAGTATGTTGCTGAGCGGACCAAGGACATTGTGAGTTTTAGCCAAGAAACTGGCTACTTTTCTTTGGGGTCTTTTTACCCTAACTGCCTAGCCAATTCCTATCTCCTATTCTTATCACACCATCCTCTGAAGAGGTTACCCAAATTGCCAATAGGGAATCAGGTCACAGACTGCTCTATGAGACTTTCTCTAACAGATGTTATTACTATTCTGGAACCTTAGGAGATTGATTAGAAATAATTGCTAGAATCACTTTTTCTCCCTTTGACTTCAACATATAATATTTGGAAGTTTATATAATAGAATTTAAAAATTAAATGTAGCCATCGTTTTCCATAAAGTTTTTTTTTTTTAATCTAGGTTTTGTAACTCAGTTGTGGCAGCAAGATTTTAAGAATTTGTTATTTTGTCATTTTACACTTAGTCAAAATGATAATCTGACTTGTATATCATAGAGGGAATGGGGAATATTATTTAGAATACCATCCTCCTCATCAACATGCTATGAGGCTTGAAGTCATTGATTTGACTCTCTTTCCATCCCAAGTGTACAATTCCTTTTTGAATTCCAGAGCCCAGGACAAGGCAGCCATGCAGCTGAGTGAACTGGAAGAGGAAATGGATCAAAGGATTCAGGCAGCAGAAAATGAGACCCGGAAAGATGTGAGTCCGTGGATTTGCCATTCGCTTGGGCATTTCAGGGAGCACCTGTTATCACGGAGTTGTGGGCACTTTTCTTCGAACCAGAGCCTGGGGACAGCAGCTACTTAGTACTCTGTTTGTGGATTTTGACCAGTGAAGTGATTTTGACCAGAGGTGTTTTTGGTAATGGATTAAAAAAATACAGAGATTGTAATCAGGTAAATAAGTGAAAGATGTAAGTTTCTGGTAGTGACAAGCACAGCAAAAAATCATGTGTGAGTTGGAGAGGTGTCAGTTTAGGTCGGAGGTCAGAGGTATCTTTGAAAAGGGTAAGTGACCATGGAAGGAAGGACTGGCAGAGTTGGAGAGCCGGCCTTTGGTAGTAAAGATGGCTGGGATTCTATATATTTGTCTTACTGATGAACTTTAAATCTAGATTGAGTGAGATTAAAATCCTGTCTCCCAACTGTGGTATTTCATGATGGAATATTATTCTAGGAATTTTTAAGGTGAAAGTTACATGCTACCATTGGTGATTTTCTCTGGGGGGGTGGAAACGTTTTTTTTCAGCATAAAATATATTTGAGCAAGTGATGTTTACTTAAAGCAGAAAATTCACACATTTCTTTGAGTACTTAATACCAGAATCTAAAATTCCACTTTCATATATTTGCATCAGTGATACTGAGAGGCAGCAAGTTTGCAGGCCTGAGTACTGGCATCTTTTAGACCTAAGTCTTCCACTTTACTTTGCCCTTACCAAGGCCAGGTGGCTCTGGAAAAATCATCTCATCATGAGTCTTTGGCATTCTATCTTTAAAATGGGATAATCCTGCCTACCAGCCTCAGTGAAGGTTAATCTTCATGTATATGAAGCACTGTGCTTATGGTAGGCACATCATGGCTGTTAATGTCTACCTTACTTTCTGTGGCTTAGTGCCTTCTTGTCTCCTTTCAGATATTTTACCTTAAATGCTTTTTTAACACAAAGATGCCTTTGTATCTCTTAATAACAAGTTTAAAAGCCCTTTGGGCAAAGCCAGGCATCATGGTGCACACCTGTAGTCCCAGCACTTGGGAGGCAAAGGCAGGCGGTTCTCTGTGAGTTCAAGGCCAGCTTGGTCTACCCATAGACTGCTTCAGGGTTCACAGCCCAGTGTTGGTGCAGATGATTTAAAAATTTTCACCATTCTTTAATCTGTGAATCCATTCATTTATTAAACACTTCTCAGGTACATATGTTATACTATAATCAAATGTCATCACTTCCAATCCAGTGCCTCCCAAACTGCTTGTTGGTAGTGGCGGTGTTGCTATGGCCTCCACCTCTGATAACATGGTGTTTTGTAATGATAATATCTTCCTTGGTTTCCTCACTTCAACCTAAAGATAAAAAATTTAAAAAATACAAAAACTGTGCCATCCCCCCAACTTCTTTTCTCTAGTCTGCAATGATGACATTTGCAGTCAGTCAGTCTCCATATGCCTGTATGCTCAAGCCTGAGCATGTCAGTCTAGGGTGTTACTGCTAATTGAGCAGCTTTGACACTGAGAGGAAGCCTGTCTGCCAGTCTTTCCTGGCACCACTCCCATAGCCTTCTAATCATATTGTCTCTGGAATAATATATGATAGCTTATTAGAGATTTTCCCCTAGGTTCCCCCAGGCACCTGGCATCCCTCAGCCTTTGGAGTTCTCCACCCTGCATAGCTGCCCACTGATATCACTGCTCCTGACTCTGATTTTATTCAAATCATTTTCTTTGCCCTGGTGATTGTTATCCTGTTCCTTTCTACTTTTCTAAATTCTTCAAAGTTGAAAATTTCCACCTTCCTCTGATTCCCTCACCTAGTTTTCTAGACACAGTGCTTATTTTCCACCTCAACTTCTTTTGTTTGTGGATTGTATATTGCATTGCTTCAATTAGTTTTTTCATTATGACACTTTTATTAATGTCTAATTTATATTGACTAAACTGTACCTGTGTAAATTGTTAGAACATGTTAAGTTTGGACACACGTGTATACTGTGGAGTTGTCTTTGCAAGCAAGAACATGGGTCATATTCTTCTCAGGTCGCTTTGTTATGTCTTCCTTCTTGCTCTGTCTCTCTTTGCTAGACAACCGCTGTTCTATTTCTTGTTACTATAGATTACTTTGAAGTTTTTAAAATTGTATATGAGTGGAATATTACAGTATGTGTGATTTATTCTCTGGATGCTTTTACTCAGCATAATTATTGTAAGACTTAGCCGCATATCAGTATCTACTTTTCTAGTGAGATTAGAATTGGATCATGTAGATATGGGAGTTTATTTATACATCTGTTGACATTTGAGTTATTTCCAGATTTAGACTCCTATAAGTTTGGATGCTATGAGTATTCATATATGAAAATTTATGTAGGAATATACTTTTATTCCTATTGAGTGAGTTCTTAGCATGAATTGGCTTAATCTCCTCTCTGCAGGTATAGTTCATTTTTGTAAGACATTGGCAAACTGGTTTACAGAGTGCCTAATAGTGTACAGCCAAGTATGAGAGTTCTACACCACATGTAACTAAGTAGAAGAATCTGGGTGTGGTTTAAGCTGCATTTCTCTAATGACTAACCTATTGAGAATTTCTCAAGTGCTTATTTGTCATTTTATATATATACATATATATAATACATCCTTTTGTGAAATCTTTTGATCATTTTAAAAATTAAGTTTTTTTTTTTTAAACTAAGTTTTATTACTGAGTTTTGAGTGGTCTCTGTATGCTCTGAATATTTCTTTATCAGATGCCTGGTCTATAAGCATTTTCACCCAGATTCTGCTTGTAACAGTTTCTTCTAACAGTTTCTTGAGAAGTAGGAAAAAATTAATATGGTAAAGTCCAAATTAGAAAGCTTCATTTGTGGATGATGCTTTTGGTGCTGTATGTAGCAATCTTTGACTTAGTCAAGGAGACAGAAATTTTCCTGTATTCCCTCTAATATATTTTAGTGTTTTTACACTCTCAATTCATTTTTGTATATGGTACAAAATATGATGATCATTGTTCAGTTTTTTTAGTGTGTATTTAATTATTCTAGTACCATCTGTTGAAAACACTACTAATTAATGTTCTTTATTTGGTTAAAAGTCAGTTTACCGTTTTTATGCAGGTTTATTTCTCAGTTCTTGATTTTGTCCTGTCCTTATATCAATAGTGCTATCCCGACAACTGCTGCTTAAAAAAGTCTTGAAGTCAAGTGGTGTTCATTCCTTAACTTTTTTCTTTTGTGAAGTTGTTTTGCCTATTTTAGATTCTTCAATTTCCATAGAATCAACCGTAATTATTTTAAAAAGCAAATCTAAAACAATATCTTGCTGGGAATTTGACTTCACTGCATTTGTAGGTCAATGTGGGAAATTGGTGCATTAACAACACTGAATATTCTGTTCTACAAACACAAGCCATTCTCTGTTTTTATTTATTTCTTCCTTATCAGGAATGTTTTATAGCCTGTTATGTGAGGATCTTACATGTGCTTTGTTCCTAAGTGCATTGTATTTTGATGTTACTAAGATGTTTTAAAATTTTGATTTCTGATTGTTACTAGTGAACTTGTAGAAATACATTTATCTTCTTTTTTTTTATATGTGTTTCATTCTATAGCATTATATACACCCAATAACATTTGGTAGATTCCATTAGATGTTTTGGGTTGATAATGGCCTCTGAATAAAGATGCTTCTCTTCTGATAATGACGCTTTTTTTGTCTTACCAATTATGATACAATATATCACATATATTGTTGAATTTTGTTTGCTGAATTTTATTGATCAGATTTGTGTCCATAGATGCACATTTTCAACTCATAGGAAACATTATATAGATTTTGTGGGACTGGGACTATCTGCCAATGTAAGAGAGTGTAAGTATTTATTAGACCAGAATTTATGTACAAGTTTTAATAAAGAATATACACCATAGACATTAACAGAGTGGCCAGATTCTCAGAAAGAAAAAATGAGGACAGAAAAAGAGACTATTGCACCCTATAAGATGAGCTGGAACAGACTTTTTACAGCAGTTAATTTACCTGCCTTGTGTCCTGTACCATTTGTATGGGGTCATATTTGAGTATTTGTATGGGGTCATATTTGAGTAGATGGACAGCCCACTATCCAGTTAAGTAGTAATTTCTAATACCATCTGTCCTTGGGACTGATTATTTGGAGTGAGTCCAGGGGCCATTAGGAGTCAAACTCTAGTTCTTTATATAAGGCATCACAAGTCACTGGGTCAGCCACTAGCAAATAGGGCCTGACTCCCTCGGCTCTGCATGTTGCAGATTAGGAATGAAATGAATGAGTTATAATTGTCTTTATTGAGATATTAGTAAAATATTTTAAGCCATAAAAGTTATTATGTCTGTGTTTGTGGCCATGTGGCACAGGGGGAAATGGGGTCCCCTTTCAGGGATGTTCATAAAATAATTTAAGAATTCATTGAATTAAATGTAAGATTTAGGACAATTTTATTAGAATTTTAAGAAAAATTCTCAGAACAGGCAAGGTATAAATCTTGGTGCCATTCTGAGGAGATGGAAGGAAGGAGAAAAGCGATAAAGCCATGCTCACTTAGAGCCAGCATGGAGATCAGACATGTGGTGGACACAAGGTGGGGAATCTTAAAGAAACAGTGAGAAAGCCCAAAATATTGGGGCAACCCAGAGCTTTTGGAAAAATATGGTTAGAAAAGAGATAAAAAGAAGAAAAAGAGGTTATGCTTTTCTGAAGAATTAGAAAAAGAGGGAAGTCTTACAGAAAGCTAGATGTCTATGGCCTGGTATGTAAGCTTTGCAGTAGTGGGCGAGGATTCTGGGAAGGAAGAGTTTACTATGTTATTAATGCTTTATGTATTCTGTCTATCTCTGTGGTATGATTTAAGGTAAACCCGCTTTCCTGGGTAGTGCTGTAACCAGGTGATTGACTCAGCAAAACTGGAAAGTTAAGGCTCCACCCAGGCTAGAGATTCTTATTCACTTGACCAGTTTTCTCTTAAGGGGCTTTTTGGTACTGTAATACACGGACCCAGGTGATTTTGATGTTAGTAAGACTGCCTGAACTACTTGTCATCATGACTACATGTGAAACAGGTAATATGTATTGCTCATTGTTTTACCTGGAAAGCTGAACTAAGTCAAGATAGTTGATAGGGAAATGTTCTTCTGCCAGGAATTTCACATGGATTATATAATTTACATGGATTATTTAATATATAATGGATCATTTAATGCTCATTAAATATTTAGTACACTTGAGTATTTGATTTATAGGGATTATTTAATTACACAAATTATTTAATTCTCACAATCATCCAATAAAAATGGAGATAATTGGGCATTATGGTACATGCCTGTTACCTGAGTATCTGAGAAATTGATACCAGAAGATCGGGAGATCAAGTTCATCCTGGGAAACAGTGAAGCCCTGCCAGAAGAAGAGAGGGGAGGGAAAGAAGGGAAGGAAAGGGAGGGGAAGAGAGGAGAGAATAGAAGAGGAGAGGAGAGGAGAGGAGGGAAGGGACAGCAAAAAGAAAAAGAGTAGAAAATAGGGATGACCAATTAATGATTAATAAGACCTTGAATCTGGCATGTACTCAGATATGGGGTGAGGACCTCTGCAGAGACTTCCTGTCACTTCTCACTGCTTTTTTCCCTCTTTAATGTGTTTTTAAAAACTATCTTCTGTCTCTCCCTCCCTCCTTCCTTCCATCCTCTCTCAACTAGAATGCAGGGGCAGATCAGTTTTCATTGTTTCCTCCTCTATCTCTGCATTCTTGGTTCCTAGAACCATTCTTGTTAGATGGTGGACAATTAGTGAGTATTAGTTCACTGAATTTCACTGATTTTTAACCTAAAACAATTTGAATAGTGAGCACAGAATATGTCATGGTATAATTGTTAAGAGACACAGAAAGTTTAAAAATGACTTGGCTCTTGGTGTTATAGGCATGAATCTAATCTCAGAGGGGCACCTGCTGAAGTTTTGTATCTCTTAATGAATTGTAAAGAGACACATGGATAGTTACAGGAAAGGAGGTAGTTTGTTAGGAAAGGGAAACAAATTTAGAACTGAGCCAGAGCTCAACCATGGTCCTTGTTATAACTCAAAAGAATAGAGAATAAACTGCAGATTTGTAGAAAGGAGCAGATACAAAATTATCCTTAAGAATGAGCTTGGAAAAGAGCCTTGCAAATCATGGAGGACTGTGATTGGGCCTTGAAGTAGAAGAGCATTAGAAGAGGTAGAACATCATACCACAGGCAGCATGATGAGGCCTTGAAGAGAGAGAACGTTTTTCCTTTAAATCTCAAAGAGCTTCACTTGGAGAGGTAATCAGCATACATAGCTAGAAAGCTGAACTAAGCCAAGATAGTTGATAGGGAAATATTCTCCTGCCAGGAATTTCACATGGATTATTTAATATCTTGGTCTTTTTTGAGACAGGGTTTCCCTGTAGCCCCAGATGGCCTAGAATTCACTATGTAGACCAGGCTGGCCTGGAACTCACAGAGATCCTTCCTGTCTGCCTCCCAAGTGCTGGGAATTAAAGGCCTGCGCCACCACACCCAGTTTAATATATATGGGTCATTTAACACTCATTAAATATTTAGTACACTTGAGTATTTGATTTATAGGGATTATTTAATTACACAAATTATTTAATTATTACACAAATTATTTAATTCTCACAATCATCCAATAAAGGCGGAGATAGCTGGGCATTATGGTACATGCCTGTTACCGGAGTACTTGAGAAATTGAGACCAGAAGATCAGGAGATCAAAAGTTCAGCCTGGAAAACAGTGAAGCTAGAGTCCTGAAGAAAAGGGCCTTTAAACTTCTGGAACAAAGAGGGTGTCTGATTCTTACAGGTTTCCAAAGATGCGGACAAGCTTCGTGCCATGTAGTGTAGTCTGGCCAAGATCTATAAACTTGTAGAAATGGGAGAGGGGCTGTAAGATCCTAGCACAGTGTGCTTTCTTATCAACTCTAGCCCAGAGAGAGAGCCCACCTGGGTGTGGGGAGAAGAGGGAACATCTGAGCTCATTTTTCCTTCTTAGGCCTGTGTCACTGCAGGCACCTGCATCTCAGTTTCATTGTCCTAAGGCACAGATTGCTAAGGGAAGTGGTCTGCTTTCTGGGAGAGACAAAGGCAGCTAGTATGATCTAAAAGTCCTGCTTCAGAAGAGAGATGGGGTCTTTATAACCTATTAGAGATCATTTACATGCCATGAATTTTTCTGGCTGTCTCTGTTTTCTTAGGAGCCAGCAGCCTAAATTCCAGTGTTTCATAGTAGTCTTCACAAGTTAATCTCAGCCTCCTCTCTCAATCCAGTCCTATTCTTCCACATCAATGGGAATTTCTGAATAGCAGTCTCTAGGCCTCCTTGTGTGCCTTTTTTGTCACTATCTGCTCTGGGGGGATTTAAAGGAGCACGTTTGAATTAGAGACATACAGACACAGGCTTTGTAATGGTGCCTTAGCTGCATATACTACAATGGGCCAATTGTTATTTGATGGTGTTCTAGTTATCTTACCTGGTATAAGTACATGTTATCGTGTTCACTTAAGGACAAAAATCACCTGACATTTCTCAGATTCTATTCTTGTTAACTCTACCAGCCTAGGCCTATTGCAGCTTCTACACACTTTGCATAGAAATTTACAATGATATAATTGATAACATATAAACTGTAGGATAAAAGGTATGTCAAACATGCCTTCCAGGGACCTGAGATGTCATGGAATTTTAGGCATGCCTGGAGCCCTGCAGGCTATAGCTGTACTGTATCTTTTGAAAATAATAAGTACTTAATTAATGGATGTGCTGTGACCCTATCACAGGGTAATATTCTTAGAGATTTCTTCAAGATGAAATGTTTATGTGAAGCACGATAACCTATAGTTCTTCTATTTTTATGTTTCAATTCCAACAGTGCTATACACCTAGAACTCTTCATATCTTTCTGTCTTCTCTTCTCACTGTCTCCTTTAAGAGACTTGAGGTCAGCTTAGTTTGATGCAAAGTGCTTCTCACCTAACGGGTTTTGATAGCTGTTTAAGGGGTGGAATTCATTTAAATGTAGTATTTTTTTTCCCTGTAGGAAAAACGAAAAGCTGAGGAAGCCCTTAATGACCTCAGAAGGCAGTATGAAGCAGAAGTAGGAGAACTGCAGGGGACCATCAAAAGGTTAAAAAAGGTATGCATATGTCAGCTTTATATTCTAGAAATGGCCTCATCTCAATGTGTCTATTAATAATGAAAAACACTTAAAATTATGTTGAAGTAGAGATAGAACTGAGAGTCAGAATCAAGTCCTTCCTTGGGAAGACTTTTTAAAGACTACTTAGTTCCTCTTCTATTTCCAAGACCAACTATCTGTCATTTAATATAGGTCTAATAAAATTTCATGCCCTTGAACAGTTGTTCATCAAACCTGTTTCCATTTCTCAGTTTTTATTCATCACGTGCCCTCTAGTGAGTCTTCCATGTCTTGTGGATCATCCCTTCCTCAATACTGGATGAAACATCTCTTTAGGTCAGTTATCCCTGTATTTCTGCCCCTAGCTTACTACAAAGTGTGTAGCAGAGATTTCAAAAAATATTTATTAAATTAAATGAAAATTGCTATTTTAAAAAGAAAGTAGTGGCACACGCCTTTAATCCCAGCACTGGGGAGGCAGAGGCAGGCGGATCTCTGTGAGTTCAAGGCCAGCCTGGTGTACATAGTGAGTTCCAGGACAGCTGGGGCTACAGGGAGACCCTGTCTCAAAAAGACCGAAAAAAAAAAAAAAGAAAAAAAAAAGAAAGTTTAGGTCTAGGGATCACTGATTAGGGAATAATAAGAAAATCTTGTCAAAATATGAACAAAAGTGTGACAGCATTCCAGCATTTTCTACCCTGTGATATGTTGGCAGAGGTTAAGAAGTAGCTCTGGAGCAGAAGGGTGGGGTCTGTTTGGGTCACTTGCTACTTGACACGGTGTCGATGGTTTATGTTACTGATTTCATGGTATCAAGTTGGTATCACCAGATGCAGAGCTTGGAACTGGTGTTTGAAGTACACTCTGACCTGTCACTACAAGCTGGCTCTTTTTCAGTGCTGGGCTCACTTCTTGTGTGCAGTTGTTTCTATCACTAATGGAAATAGCTTAAGTAAAACAGTATTATTGGAAGGCAATTAAGGGAAAGATCTTTGCTTCTGGTCATGAAAATAGAATTTATTTGGCCGGATTGGAGACCTAACATTACAAACTACCCAAAACATAAGCATCAATTCACTTGGGCCAGTCAGTTTTCTGACTAAGGAAGGAGAATTAACCTGCAGCTATGTTAAAGAAATGGGGGGGGGGTGCTTTCTGTGAGTCTTTCTTAAGTCTGCCTGCTTTTCTGAATTATTCAGAAATTTTCTTCTTCTATCTCTTTCCTGAGCATGCTCTCCCTAGTGCTTGAGAGTACATTACTCTTCCTGTAAAGCTTCTCCTCACCCATTTTCTGCTGACAGATGCTTGTCTGTCTTGTGATTGGCCTCCGCTTCTGAGCATGCCGGCCTCACTCAGAAGGCGAGGTTTTCTCTTCCTTTCTCCATCTTTCTTCTCTGGGCAGCTGCCAAGATTTACATGTTTCCTGTTATGGGGTTTTTCTTTTAAATTCTGATAAAATTGTTCTTGAGCGTTCTTCTTAGTCTCATTAATGAGACTAAGACCCTTGACAGGGGACTTCAGTTTCTCCAGTAACAGGTGGCACCTGTAATATATGCATCACTGACTACAAGGAGGTGAAGTGACAGTTCATTGTCAGCTGTGATTATCTAAACCTCTGTAATGACTGAACATCAATCATCTAGGAGTTTTCTGTGAAATGCTCCTCTAATTACCTTTTATGTCAGTTTGGAAAGTCATTAGACCATCATACTATGAGTCCTTTCCAGACTTATGAATCAATATTCTTACCTATAAAGTCTTCTTTTCATTGTCTTTATTTCTCTGGCATTCCAGATCTTTAGACTACAAAGATATGTGCAAGAAAGACACACCATATGATAAGGACCTAAGCAGTGAGATGCCATGAGTCAGGATGGGGAGGCCTGAGTCTTTGACTTTCTCCTATGATAGAAGAATTTTCTTTATCTTTCTGATCCTTAGTTTCTTATCTGCAAAATGGATCTAACAATGACTTGTCCTACCTAACTATAGTAACTGGCATTCTATTGACTCTATGTTAAGATTTTTTCCATCATTTGGAAACTGAACCTTTTTATGAGGACAGTCTAAATGTCCTGCTTTTAGAAATGGGGACTAAGTTCCAGAGAGAGTAATAACTTGCTCAAAATTATGGAACTGAGAAATGATGGAGTTGTTTGACATTTTTACTTTACTTGCCTGTACCAGACTTCTTCCCCACCTCAGATGGTTGTTGTGTGATTCCAATTATTACTGTAAGCATTTATTAAATTACCATGAAGAAAACAGGTGAGTCTGACATTAATAATGCTCTTTTAAAAATGCATACTCTTGCTGGTTGCAGTAGTTAATACCTTTATTTCTAGCACTCACCTGTATTCCCAGCACATTAAAGGTAGAGGTCAGAGGATCAGGAGTATAAAGGCCATCCTCAGCTACATAGCAAGTTTGAGGCCAGCCTGGACAATATAAACCTGTCTCAAAAACACTAAAAAAATCTTATATTCTGACAGAAGGTAAAACCTTTATAAACGATAGAGGATAGGAAGTGTTCAGTGCACAGAACAAAAGAAAATGTGAATGCCCAGACTCCTTTAATGTAAGAGTGAAACATGGACTGGGTTGCTTTACTATGAAGTGATTTCCAAAAGGTCTTTCCCCTTGTTTTCAAAAAAATTCATTTAAAAATAAAAGTCTCTTCTTCAAATGATTAAATTATTTGAAACAAATGTTTAAATCTTACAAATTTTATGTTTAATAATTTGTATAGTCATACGATGTTGAAAGTTAAAAGCTTCTAGAATTTACACATTCATATTTTATAATATCTTAGTGATACTGTATTTACATGATTTTAATCTTTCAGCTTGAAGAACAGTCAAGGCACATAAGTCAAAAGGAGGACATGGCAGCATTAAAAAAACAAATTTATGATTTATCAATGGTAAGAACCACCCTTTTACTAATCAGAAGATTATTTCTTGTGAGACAAATATTTACAGTACTGTTTCTGTGTTTCAAGGAAAAAAGATTAAAGAGAAATTGATACTATGGTTAGAGAAAATCTTTTAAATACTTTTGAATAAGTATTTATATACTACCTATTATGAGTAGGTATTTTTTTAAGTTTATTTACTTCAAGTAACAGACACATGATGCTAAGCATTATTTTATGTAATGAACCTCATGCTTTTGGTTTTGTATATTTTCCCTGTCCTTCATCCAACTGTTCTCTCTGGTCTTTTCTGTCTTTTGTTGAGCATTTCTTTACTTTCTGTATTGTGAAATGGATTAACATTTACTTATGCTGTTATTTTATTTGTTTTAATTTTAGATTAATCCCTAAGATTGAGGACATTTTTGTTTCTTATGACTCTAAGCTAGGAATGCTTTCTTTTCTGCCTAGGCATTATCTTTCTGCCACTCAGGAGGAAGGTTCCCAGCCTTACAATCACAGCAGTCCCTTCATAGCCTACCACTCCAGAGGTTGCTGCATTTGCCTTGTCTTTACATTTGGATCACAACTTTCAAATAGTTACTTGCTTTTCTTGGGTTTTCTGATTGAGTTCTTGCCTTCTTGTAGTAGATACTCAACCATTTTGTTATCACACTAATCTGTAAGAATTTTTTATTTTCCTTAACGCATGGAATTTATTTTTACCCTTCAAAATATTAATTTTGAAGACTATGATATGTCAATTTTTCTTGGATTGCTTCAATCTTACTATATACCCAAACTGTAATCTCTTTCTTTGGCTTCTTCATTGTAATTGTACTATTTTCTTCCTTCACATTTTCTTGAAAGTTTGTCTAAATGTATAGGGTCTTCCAGGAGGCCTCTGGAATTTAGTTCTTTCTAAATGATTTTTTTCTAATACTTGGCAGTCTTTTTTTTTTTCTTTTTCAATGATTCTAAAGAGTTTATTGGGCTTGCTAACAGAGCATAGGCTGGGGTTTTGTTTACAGGAGAATGGGTGCTCCCACCCTCCCCATTTATGGCTGTGCTAGAAAGGCTACACTCAAATATAGATCCTGTGACTTCCCAACAGCCACACAAAATGGCAAGAGAGGTGCCTCATGGTGTTCTTATATATCCTTAGCCCCTCCTTCACATGCAGCTAAGGTCGACTGATTGGATGGGAAGAGGTAACTGACTCCCCCATGGACTCCTTGATGTGTGAAGGAGGTGTGACTATAGTTTGCTGGGCTAGTGGTTGGAGGACACATCCAGTCGTTCAGTTAACACTCCAGCCCTTCCTCCGCCAACCTCTTCTGCAAAAGTCTTTGAGCCTTGATTCATGTTTAAAAGTAGAAGATTCACTTGATAATTTTAGATAGGTGGTATAGGATTCTCATGTAACTAGCTAAACAGGGAGCTCACACTCTGAGAGGGTATCTGTAGACTAAGTGTTCTGTAGACAAAGTTCCTACAGGCTGTGGGACCTCATTTCCCAGGATAAATGAGGACAAAGAGCTGCTTTCACTTTTCTGTCAGGAGCCAGTCAGTTAATTCAAAAAACATGATCTCTGTGGGGTGTTTGTGATGCCTTCAGTCCCAGTACTCAGGAGGCAGAGGCAGGTAGATCTCCATACCACTAATCCAACCTGAAACTGGAGAAAAAGGTTTCAACACATGAAATTTCTTTGGCAGTGGGCACTTATATTGTATATGCATCAAAACTAGTGTGGTGGTACTTGCCTTTAATCCAAGCAGACAGAGCTCTGTGAGTTCCAGGTCAGCCTGGTCTGTATACCAAGTTCCAGGCTACTGAGGGGCCTACATAGTGAGACCCTGTCTGAAAAACCAAACAAAACAAAAACCAAATTATATCTACATAACAGCTGTTTTTGTTTGTTTTTTTCTGACTCTTCTTTTGGGTAGCACATTTCATCTGGTTTTTACTATCCAGAATGTGTCTAAGTTACTTGACTGCACATGGGCCCCTCTTTCATTCCTTTAACTGTTAATGGTTCATTTCCTTTGTTAAACTATGTATTCAGTCCACCATTTTGAACTGAAAGATTCCTGTTTTTTTTCTTAAGGAATATGTAAAAATATCATAATTATAGCTTTTCATTATTAGTCACAAAACTTTAAAAAGTCAGAAGATAGTATCTATAATAAAAAGCAACCAGTATACCCAATTTTTGGCGTAATTTCACAGCTTATTTGTAAGTGCTTCATAACTCTCATAAAGTAAAGAAGGTGTTCATGGGGCTGGAGAGATGGCTCAGAGGTTTAAGAGCATTGACTGCTCTTGCAGAGGACCCGGGTTCGATTCCCAGCACCCACATGGTGGCTACGAATGGTCCTTAACTCCAGTTCCAGGGGAATCCGAAGCCCTCTTCTGACCTCCCCGGCGTTGCATGACACGGGCACACTCACATACATGTAGGCAACACACTCACACACATAACATGAAAATAATACATAAAATAAAAAAAAGTGTCCAATGTTTGTACTCATTTAATTTTCCAGTAACATTCCCAAGAGAATACTGAACAGCTTTTGCCTATTGGAGTTTGGTAACAGCTGTCAGATTCAAGAAGTGAAGAGCAACTTTAAGAATTTATATATATTTTTAACTTAAGAACTTGGGAAAGATAGGAGCAGGGGGCTACCCTGTATACTGCTTCACATTTCCCAGAAGCAAGAAACCCTGAGTCTAATGCTCCTCATGGCTGATTTTCTCTAGGAAAATCAAAAACTCAAGAGCGATCTTTTAGAGGCACAGACAAGCATAGCCTTTCTTCAGAGTGAACTAGACGCTTTGAAAAGTGATTATGCTGACCAGAGTCTGAATTCTGAACGGTATGAAAACTTACATTTTGTTTTTAAATTTCAGGGTAATATTTACTTAATTATCTATGGGAACGAAGCTTAGCTAAGTAATAAATAGAGGGTCATTCACTAACTTTGCTAATACATCTTTTTTTATGCTTTCTAAAAATATATTTAGTAAGAGATTTATTTCTTTGTGTGTGTGTGATCTTTTTAAAATATTAACTGGTTTAATTATTGGTCTTTTAGGACAGCGCAAGGCTTAATAAATGATCAAACTAAGTAGCAGTGGAAAGAAGATACATAAGGAAGAAATCTATTTTAATGGTTTTTACAGATGAAACTGAATAAACTAAGAGTATTAGGAACTAATAAGTTTGTCTGTAGAGCAGTGGTTCCAGGGGAGAGGGAAATGAATTTTGAGTGCGTGGTTTGAAGAGGAAGCCAGGGCCTCTGAAATATTTCAACCAACAGAGGAATGGGTGTGAGGGTGTTCCTCATACCAGACAGATGGGTTATGTGGGTTCTTCTTGGTTTTAGAGTGAGGAAAGAAGAGACACCAAGTATGCGCATGATGCACAGGATGGTGTGATCACAGGAAAGGAGGAAAACAGCGGTGCTAGGATTTGTGAAAGTTGAAGGGAGTACAGAAGGATATAAGTTTGGAAAGGAACATTTAGATTTGCTGCTGGGAGATTCAGGAGGTTTTGAGTTCAGTTGTAGTGAAGAATAGAACCAGGTCTTTGAGGTGGACTGGGAAAAGCTGGTGGGTGCTGTGTAATGGGGAATGGGAGTGCTCCACACTGGAAGGATTGGATGCAGGAAAGTTTGCATAGGGTGTGGGTATGAGACTCTGGTGACACAGAGGGCAGAGCAAGAACCTGAGAAAGAAAGAAAACTACAGTCGAGAATGCATACCTTTTGAAAAGAAAGGGCTTTAAAGGATGAATGTAGGTAAGACTTGACTCCTAATTCTCATCGAAACATAAAATAAAATTTTGCAGGGATCTGGAAATAATCCGAGAATATACAGAAGATCGCAATAGTCTTGAAAGGCAAATTGAAATCCTCCAGTAAGTTCTCATATAAAATGCTCACTAATTTTACCAAATATTTTTTGTTAATAAAGCATATTGCACATGTAACGCTAGTTGCCATGCCCAGTGTGCAGGTTACTGTGCTTCTTCTCACTGTGGTACATTATGTCAACTCCACTTCCTGATGCATCTGCCCCTGGCAAATGTCTTAGTTAAGCCTCAGTAAGGAACAGAGTGGCCTTCATAGTCATCGTTCTCTGCTGAGCACCTCACATTAATGGGACCACAAGACAGTGCATAATCATTCTGTCTCGACTTGTTATGCTTGCTTAGAAGTATCTATTTTTTTCCTTTTCCAGTGATATCTTATCCTGATCTGCCAGCTTGCATCCTCTGAGGGGCTTCCCCAGGAAACCTTGACATACCTTCTTCTTTTTCACCAACACATATTTCTTCTGTTTTCAGTTTACTAAATTAAGTAATGTCAGGCTTGACATGTTTTTCTTCACCATCGTCTCACCTGTAGCAACTGCAGAGATCACTTGTTCCAACAACTTTATGAATTCATTCACTCATTAATTCATTCAATAAGATTTTTCAGTTAGCACCTTTTATGAGTGAGGTACCTCTGAAACCAAGGATGAAGTGGTGAGCAGGAGAAAACAAAAGCACTTTACAAGAGGCTAGTGTAGAGGAGGAAAACAGAAGCTGGTCACTAGTTACGGAAATAAATACAAAAGACCAAATGAGAGAAGTGTGGGAAAGGAGAGGTGCAGGTCCCCTGTGGGAGCTCTGGCCTATCCAGAAAGGTCAAGGAAGTGTTCCTAGAGGAAGTGACAGCACAACTGCTGAGATCTGAATGATGAAGTGCCCATAAGCAGAGGATAATTAGCTACTCTGTGTGATAGAAGCTCTGTTATCCTTGTTTTACAGATGAGTGAGGTTGATGTTAAAATGGCATTTATGACATCATGTGAAGTAAGGACATGAGTTGGTGTTTAAGACCAGATTATTCTGAGATCAATAGCCAAGTTTATGTTTGAAACATGAATCCCACCAGGAGGTTAGCAGTGTAGGGTACAGGAGTCAGGAGGAAGCATGCCACAGCATTCTATGCCTGGAGATGAGCTGTGTGAACCAGCCAGCTAGGTTCAGGCATTTGGAGAACAGAGAGAGACCTGTATGAAACCTATTGACATAGGCATTTCCTGAAGGAAAAGTGAGTACCACAGCACTGCCAGATCATCCTTAAAATTACCCAGACCTGCCACAGAGAGAATGAATCAGTTCCTTGTAATTTTTATCTCAGTTGTTGTGAATTATTACCTCAGTCTCTATGGTTTGAGGAGAAACAAGATTGTCCAAAGTGGTAAATATTTCTACTTTCTAAATGCCACTGCTTGAGAAAAAATAAGAACATTGATTTCCCCCAAGTACTTCCCATATCTTCTTTCCTTCTTTCCTTGCAGAACAGCTAACCGAAAGCTGCATGACAGTAATGATGGCCTCAGGAGTGCACTGGAAAACACTTACAGCAAGTTCAGCAGATCTTTGGTAAGTGATGTCCTCTTTCAATATATTCTGTTCTTTCTCAAGATTGTTTTCGGAGGTGATGGGAACTGTGTAGTTCTTAGATGATATCTTCATATTGATCTTTTAATGAGAAATTATTTCCATAAAATATGAGAATAATAGTTTTCTAAATTAATAATTTGCTACTCATTTTCAGAAATAAATGTGATGTTAACCAAGCTCTTAGGTTAGACATTCTAAGAAGGTAGAGAAAGATGCTTAACTTGTTTTTTACCCTGGAAGAGTTGATGATGCAGGAGACGGATGTGTCCAGATGGATAGCAGAGTACATGCAGAGTGTAAAATCCCATTGTGGGAAAAACAAGACATTGCCACTCAAGAGAAGGCAGACATGCCTCCGCCTGCCATTTATTCTATACGGCAGCACCCTTGTCAAATGAGGGTCTTGGATTTTAAACCCTGTTAGCAGAAGCAAGCCTTTCAGATTACATTTGCCATGAAGCCTCTTCCCCTACAGCTTCAAGCATGAACATCCAGTGCCATAACTGGTTACAAGAAAGTTACCGAGCCATATGGTGCTTCCAAAAGAGAGCAGTCCAAGGAAGCTGATGTTACAGGTCCTGTCATATCTGGGAAGCCAGTGGACTCTTATGTAATATGCAGTAGCATTTGGAACCAAGATCTTATGAGGAGAGAGAACCATGATCTTTTATCTTTGCTGAAACTTTCTGAATGATTTTTCAAGTTCACATTTGCTCATATAGGATCCCAAAATTTTAGTTATATTAGAAATTAAATTGTATGTGTGTTCATATGCATATCTTTACATGGTACAGAAACTGTTTACATGAAATATTAAACAATCACTTATGTATTACAGCATATAAATAACATCTCACCAGGGAATACAATTTCCAGAAGCAGCCCCAAATTTAACCACCATTCTCCTCAGGCACTGGCATACGACAGGTATGGTAGCACCAACTTCTTTTATTATTTGAGTTCTAGATCAAACGAAGGAAGAATTGAAAGGAAGGTGTGCTGGATAGCTTTAGTTGTCAAGTTGACACATCTGGGTAGATGAGGCCACAACTGGGGAATTGCCTCCATTGGACTAACCTGTGGTCATATCTTTGATGCATTTTCTTGATTGTTGAGTGATGTAGGAGGGCCCAGCCCACTGTGATGATTCTGCTCAGGTGATCCTGTATTATATAAGAAAGCAGGTTGAGCACGGGCCAGGGGAGCAAGCCAGTAAGCAGTGCTCCTACATGGCCTGTGCTCCAGCACCTGCCTCCAGGTTTCTGCCCTGAGTTCCTATATTGGGCTCCCTCAGTAATGAACTGTGACACTGGGATGTAAACCACATAAACTCCTTCCTCCCCAAATTGGTTTTGGTCCATGTTTTCATCACAGCAATGTAAAAGTAAACCAGAACAGAAATTGGTACCAGAAAGCGGGCTATTGCTGTGACAGACGTGACCCAGTTGTTTTGGGGAAGATTGTGGAAGGATTTGGAACTTTAGGCTGGAAAAGCCATTGAGTGCTTAGAGCTTGTTGCTATAGAGCTTGAAAATGCTATGCTGAAAGAGGTGTAGACAATGAAGGCCTGACTTGAAGTAAAGATTATCAGGGCTGTGTGTATGATATTTTGAATTGAGAATCTGTGGTTTGTGGCTGACTGGGGCTGAAGAGTAAGCTGTGATTAAGAAGAGACCAGCACCACTGAGTTAAAACTTTTGCTTTTCTGGGACAACTGATGCTGGTTAGCTGGGACTGAAAATCAGTTGTGAGTAACAAGAGACCAGCATCATTGAGGCAAAATCTGGGAAGCATTTCCTAGGGTCAGCACATGGAAACAGTGGACCAAAGGGAGCCCAAACCTCCATCTCAAGCTGAAAGCAGAACTTTCCAACATATAACAGTCTCCTGCGTGGTTCAAGTGTTGAAAATCTGAAGACCTATCAAGTCTAATTGTGTTCTCCTAATACTATTGGGTGTCACTCCATTCCCTGAAGTGGGTCAACATTGTCAGCATGACACCTTTAATGAAAACTCCCTTTAATGAAGACAAACTTTTAATGACTCTCCCTGTCCCTTCAGCTATCAGTTGCCAGTAGTTCCTCAGCTAGGGGTGGGTCTTGTCTTTCTTCCCTTTCTAGGCTGAGATTTTTTTGTCTTGCATGAACTTGCTCAAATCTTATACATACTGTCACAAGTACTGTGGGTTGATATGTGCAACTGCCCTGTTGTGTCTGGAAAACACGGTTTCCTTGCATTCATCCATCTTCTCTGGCTTTTACAATCTTTCCTCTTTCTCTGCAATGATCCCTTGGGAGAAGAGGGTGTAATATAGGTGTCCTATTCATGGCTAATCACTGTGCAGTTTCTTACTCTCTGCACATTTACCAGTTTTGAGTTTTAGTGTAGTCTGTCATAAGAAGAAGCTTCTCTGGTAAGAGACAATAAGACATTAGTCATTATTATTTCATTTACCAGGATAATAGTAGTGGGTTTTCCCCTGTAGGCTGTGACCTGTCTAGTCACAGGTTCTTGGCCCTGATAACTGTGACAGATATGGGCTCCATATTATTAAGTGGAGCTTAAATCCAATTAGGAAATGGTTCCTCACATAGCATTCATGCCACTGTTGCACCAGTGAGTAATATCTTGCCAGACCAGCTGTTATTGGAGCATGTAAGGTTCACAGCCTAGTAAGATTGATTATTTTTCTCTTCTAGTACCACGCATAGCACTTTTCAGCGCTATGCAAGCTAGCCAGTAGAGATAAAGCTTTGAAGTTAGTACCAGCTTGATTTCTCCACTTTTATTCTATGACTCATGCATATAGTGTCTTCAGCAATAGAGTCAAGCTCTGGAAGGCAACAAAGAGCAGTGGTAATAGCCATTATTGTTTGAGGGTCTACTGGTATCCGCTGGTCACTAACTCCGAAAGTGGAGCCCATTTCTGACTCTGAGCTTTCTATTTGCTAAAATGCAGTTTCTGGTAGGGTGATTGTCCCCAGTAACAGGATAACTCCATTTAACCTCTTT